TTCAATGCACTTTGGACTTCCTCCCTGAGTATCATTGGCTCTTGATCATATGGTACCTCTTGAAATGGTTGAACATTAACCATTTCTTTCTGGCACTCTAGCTAATATTTGGGTGCTATTCATGTTTTCATGTTCTGGCAATGTTAAACTACCTATTCATAAGATTTTCAGTGGCTATGCATTCAGAAGTGTGCCACAGCTCCTCCTTTCTAGTCTTAATCTGTAATCTCAGCTGAAATCTGTCCACCGTGGGTGACCCGGCTGGTATTTAAAATATTATTGGCATAGCTTCCAGCATCACAGCACACCCAAGCCACCACAGCATGACAAGTTGACAGACAAGTGGTGATTTCATAGAAGAGGAAATATGAATTATTTGTCCTATCTGAAATGTGCCCGTCACTGGTTTTCAATATGTCTTCAAATAATGCACAAAAATAATTTAGTGGTAATGACTAAATACCTAACCATGATATCATTAGCTGTAAATGATCTCTAGTTTAACATTTTCTTCCAGTGCTTTATTAGTAAAACTAATAAGTTAAAAGTCATAACTTCCAACAGTAGATTCTCACTGGAGAAAATGGATATGGATAGAGAGTGCCCTTGTATATTATAATTCTGTTTTGTTTGCAGTTGAGCTATGACAGTATTACTGAGGAAGGGAAAAGGTAATAGGACTTATCCAAAGCTTCTATTATCATACAGTATATTTTCCCTTAAATTCTGTCTTTCCTATTCAATTAATTTTATAAAAAACTATAAACTCTCATATTGTGGAGTCCTGGTGTGGCGCTGTGGGTTAATATGCTGGACCGCAAAGTCGGTTTGAACTCTAAGGTCTGCAGTTCAAGCTCACCAGCTGCTCCTCGGAAACCCTATGCAGAGTCGCTATGGGTCGGAACCAACTCGAGGGCACTTAACAACAACCATTGTAATATGCACACAGCACATACAATATTTTATAAATTTCTAATTTCGAAACATTGAATACATTTTTCAAGCTGTGCAACCACTGCTACTTTTTTCTGAATTATCCTCCTTTTCTTTTAATTTTACATTAACTGGATAATAATCTTAGTAAAAGTTCAGATAATACAACTAAAGATATTTGACCAAACATTATTTTTTATAAATAGCTAAATGATCTCAGTATTTTTTCTAAGAATCATTGAAGGAATAAAACTTCTTACAAATTTAAGTATAAAAGACCTATTTGAGGTCTAGTATCTGACATTAAGGAGCTCTGGTAGCATAGTGGTTACGAATCAGGCTGCTAACCTCAAGGTCAGCAGTTCAAAACTACCAGCCATTCCGAGGGGGGTAAAGATGAGGCTATCTGCTCCCGTAAAGATTTACAGCCTCAAAACCCTATACAAGGTCACTGTAGGTCGGAACCAACTCCACAGCACACCCACCCCCACCATCTGACATTACTTTATCTACCTGATTATTGATTGAATTTCCCGGTCATTGGTTAGATGTTTTTTTCTTGTTTCATGGTTTGATATGTTGAATGAGGGCTTTGAGCTTAGAAACATCTTCAAGGATAACTCTTCCTGTTTTTAATTCTGTATTGTCTGTCTTTAGGAGAGTAAGCAAGAAATTCAGATTCAGAGGGGTGCCAGGTTGGTAATTTGGCTCAAACTACATGTGGAGAATAATTTCTCTCCTAAAATGAAGCACAAGGATAAGTAATAACTTTTTATGCATGATAAGCATCAAAAATATGAACCTGCTGGTCTTTGCTTTTCATTTTTCTTTCCCTCTTGTCTGCAGTGAAAACCTCCTGCAGTGTGCACACGACGTGATCAATAACTCAATAACTTTTCCATGCAGTAATTATCTCCATGTGATATTATCTGAACACTGCTTTTCTTTATTACTGAGAAGATGCAGGAGCTACTTAGATAGCCAGCTGATCCCATTTTGTATAAAGGTGCTTTGTGACAGCAGGGGAAATAGTTTGTTTTAAATAGCCTTTTTAAATAAATGCTGTATGAAAAGCTTTTCCAGTTAATTCTCACTTAGCACAAGAAGGTGATTACCAAAAAGGTGTAGTTATTAAACTTTTACTTTCAAGGTTTTATCATACAATAGTCTTTTTAACTTTGATACATACAATTTACATTAAAATCATGAACCATTTGACATCATTATTTTAGCAGTAATTTTTTTATTCCTCTAAACCACCATTTTTAGGTATTTATAGAGGTGTGAACTAAATACATGTAAGTCCTGTCATCTCTGCATGTCTCACAGATGATTCTCCTTATAGACAGAGATCTTGCAAGAGTCCCGGATGATGATCCCAGATTGCCAGCGCAGGTTGGAAACTGCATATACTGATCTTCTGCAGCTACTAGTAAGTAAAGACTTCTTTGTTTTATGTTGTAAGCTTTGGATTTTGTTTTTCTGTGTAATACAAAGAAGGCCAAAATGTTAACTATGTAACACTGAGAAGAACAAGTTGATATTTTTTATTCATTTACCCTGCATACCAGTATATTTAAAAATAATTAATGCAGTTTAGTTGTTTTGAGTCCATCTTCCAATAAAAGTGCTCGTTTCTAGTGTATGTATCTTACTCGATCTTAGTTACATAAATCCTTTTTTTTTTTGACACATTAATGATGAATAGAGTGTTTGAAATTTTAAAAGATCCTAATGTTTCAAATGAATTTGAGCCCTTATTACAAAAGATCTGGACTTCTTTCGGATTCAAACCTAAATTAGTTCGAAGGGGGTGAGGAGGAGCTGTAATAAATACCCCCCTCATATCAGTATGGAGCTAGGTAAGATACTGTAATCATACTTGCTGGTGTAAATGTCTTGTGATGTTGTAACAGAATCATTTTAGAAATGACTCTAAGAATAATTCAGTTATCTTGTTTATTTATTAATAAAAATAGAAGTATAGTAATGTACCATACACATAAAGCTATTCATTAGCAGTTGCTGTTTGCTGATAATCTGATGAGTTAGCAGTTGTTTGCTGATAATGCGATGACTGTACTGATCTCATTTTGTATTTCTGTTTCTTGAGCTAATCTGAATTATTAGCTACGTAGCTCTGTTTCTGTGCCATAGATGTTTCCCTGTGTAACAAAAATTATGTAAGATTTTTTCAGTATGATCATGTGTATTCTTTAAAAGAGAATCGTATTTGGTTTTCCATTGACTAGAATTAAATCTACAGAAAGAGAAAATTGTTCACATTTTTTAACAGCTTTGACACAGAACTCCTCTTTTTTTCTTTTTTTTTTTTTATAGGAACCTTTGAAAGGTGGGATAACTCTTCTTCACAGCCAAAAACAAAGCTAGGGTTTTGACATTAAAGATAGCTAAAACTAGGAATAATTATTGTGTTAAAATATTACCTAAGACAGGAAGCACTATTTTCATTTCCTCACTAGTTAAATGCATTTTTGCTCTCATGCATCCAGTGGCTAATAGATTACTTGAAAGAAAATTATATTATCTTTGTACACAAAGTGATATATTTGTATGTGAAGTTACTTTTAATATTTCTGTCTCAGAATGTTTACATTTTACTGATGAAGAACAAAGATATGTTTAGGTATAATGTAAAGGTTTAAGAAATTCTTACCTATAGTCAGAATTAAACAAATTCTCAGCCCTTTGGCTGTAAATCTTCATATTATCTGCACACATCCGCACACACTTAGGCCCTCTGCTTTGTAACTATGTGTACGTCTCTTTTATTGACCCGACATATACTGCTGACCATGACATAATTTTAAAAGCTTGCAAAATTTCCTAAACACAATACTTTAGATGATATTTCAGTTATCACCATTACAGTATATCAGTGAAAGTTTTCTGTATATCAATATCATGGAAAAACTCAATCTTTAAGTATCAAAAATAACATCAGAAATGAAAATTTCCCATGTAAGTAGAATATGTAATAATCATTAGCAGGCAGACCATTCCCTCATCTCTGGTATGACGCGTGGACTTCTTCTTGGTCATTGTTAAGTAGTTGGAGGGTTATATTTTGGCCTGAATGTTATTATATAAGTAACAGATTAATAATTTTTCACTTTTAGTCCGTTATTAATTATAATCTCTTTCATATGGTGATGTGTTGACAAATGAAAGTAAAAATATTTTTTTTAAAAACTGTTTTTATTTGCTTTGATGTTAATAGTTTTAGATGATCACGCTATCCAGTTATTATATGATAATCTACTGTGTTTAAGAAATAAAACCAAACCCGGTATTTCTTTCCTTTCCTGTGAAGAAGGAACAAACTGTGGGATTGTATTAAGATGAGGCTTTTGATATTTTTCATATAATTTTTTTGCTATTTACTTTGGTGATTTGTAACAAAGTACTGAAATTTGAAAGGGGTACACTTACTTTTTACTATATTTCATTTCAGGAAAGTGAAAAAGACTTGGAGGAAGCTGAGGAATTTAAAGAAGCACGTTCAGTACTGGATTCAGTGAAGTTGGAAGACTGATATGGGGTCTTTTGCCTTAAATCCTGGGATCCATTCCACAATTCATTGTTTTTGACCACTGCTGTGTTAAGTTCAAGTAGAATGAGAATGTGATTCTTTTTCTTCACTTTGCCTAATAAAATTGTTTCTTTCATACTTCATAGAATATTTTTAACCTTTTGTCATGAAATCATATAGACATTTTGACAAAGAATTAAAATCTGTTATGTTCTATTTAAGGTTTAGATATTTTGCTTCACAAGTGTCATTTGAGTTTAAATAGGATACTATTTAGGAATCCTGTTGTGGTACTTAGACAAAGCACTGAACTGACCACAAGGTCAGTGGTTCAAATCCACTAGCTACACCTTCGAAACCCTATACAGGATCACTATGAGTTGGAACCTATTTAATGTCACTTAACATTTATTTAAGGTAAAAATAAAGATTTTGAACAGTTTATTCTGAATAGGATACACCTTTCTGATAAAAACGATTGGGCCTCACAGAATTAACCCTTACATTGCAAGTTCAGTGTTTCCATTATTATAAACTTAGGAGAGACATTTAAATATTTTCTTTTCCAGAAAGACAGATTTGTTCAAAATCATAATTTAGATGTGCAAAATAGATTCTTAGGACCAATGAAGAGTTGAATTCTACTATAGAGAAGTAATGGTTGTAGCTAGGATTGTGCTGGTGTTTCACCAGCCCTTCAAAATGGAGGGAAACCTCTGATTCATAGTTTATGCTGATTTCTGTGGCATAGATACTTCAAATACTGTAGAAAAGCACTGGACTGCTAACTACAAGATCAGTGGTTCACATCTACCAGCCCTCGTAAATCCCATACAGTGTCACTATAAGTCGGAACCAACTTGATGGCATTTACTAAACGTATTGACATCACTGAACACAGAGTTCAAAAGAGACAAGCTCTCCAACACAACACTCTCTATAGCCAACTCATGGTTATTTTCATTGGGAAACTCTGAGTATCATTTAATCACAAAGTTATGGCTTAATCATTTTCGGTTTATTTTTAAAAGACAATGTTACAACTCATGTGTTTTTGTTGTTAGGTTTCAACTCATAACAACTCTATATACAACAGAACGGGACACCACCGCTCCTTTTTCCTAGTCTGTCTTAGTCTGGAAGTTCTGCTAAAATCTGTCCACCATGGGTGAGCCTCCTGGTATTTAAAATACCAGTGGCTTAGCTTCCAGGATCATCCACACATAAGCCACCCCACAGTATGACAAGCTGACAGATGAGTGGAGGGGCAATGCATTTAGTTTTCTTCTATTTCAAGAAAATGTGTATCACCAGCCATCAAAATTGTATTAGTAGCATTTAAACTTTTAAAACTAATCAATGACGGAGCAACTCTAGACTCAAGGAAGGAGGCTGGCTGTGTGCTGGTGGCCAGGGGACTGGCATGCAGGGTATATACCCTTTGGTTGTTTGAATGGTTGTATATTCCTGAGTGCTTCGGTGCACATCCAAAAAAAAAAAAAAAACAGCGGGAATGGAACAAATGCTGTTGAATGATGATGCATGGAGGCGATTGTAATTATTGCAATGAAATGAAATACGATAGGATGAATGTAAAGCTGATGCTCTCCCATGTAAACTATCACTCAATTCACAATAAAAATTTGTTAAAAAACAAAACAAAAACCAACTCATCAGTGAAAAAAGAAATCACTTGAATTTTTGCTGCTGTAAACAAAATACTTGTAGTATGGTTGATCAGATTTTGGAAGCTACAAAGGATCACTAGAAGCCATAACATGCTTCCTCTTTAGTTTTCAGATTCATGTCAAAAATTTAGAAAAAGGAAAGATAATACTATTCTAATGTTATTTCAAAGGGCTATTAATGGTGTTATAAAGCAAAGAATGTATCATATTTATAAAGTAAATTCTTTATACATGTAGAAAATGACTTCATCAGAAAATAACTAGAGTATTTTGCGGTTGGCGCAAACTCACCAGCTGCTTCTTGGAAACCCTATATAGGGTCACTATGAGTCAACCAACTCGATAACACTTAACAACAATTAAGTACTGTTGCAGCTCAGCTTTTTCTTTTTTGTATATTTAATTTTTCAAATAGGATTTCATTTAAAGAAAAATTTTTACTATTATTAAAAAAAAAAAAAAGCCACTGTCTTGTTTCAACATTTTACCTAATACGTAAGTATCATATATATGTTCATGGTAAGTGGTTTCCTAACCAAGTAAAGCTTGAAGACAAGAGAACATCAAAAACTCTATGTTGGTCCTACCACGGAAATACAATACTGAATGAAGTACAAGTATTGTGACCAAGATTCAATTCTTGGATGCTGAAAAATTACTTTCTTATCAAAAAGCCTGGGAAAGAAATCAATCTACAAAGTAATTTGTTTTGTTTTCCCCTAAGTAGCCTATCACAACTATAGATTTTATGCTGGATCTCTCTCTAGATATTGATAAGAAGCTTAACATTCTGTAAAGGCTTTATTAGAATTTTGGCACATTTTACTTTAATCTTTATGGGTATGAGGAAGCATATTAAGAGCAGAGAGCTCTGCCAACAACAACACAGAAAACCCTACCAAGCAGGCTCAGGGGATGGTCCCAGAACTCTGAACCACATATAAAGGAATACTTAGAAGGTTGGAAGGCTCACAGCTGGGGGAATTT